GGTGGTCAGTGTGCATCATAGCGACCGGTCATTCTGCTGTTTGATCAATTTGCATATTAGCCTTTTATTATATAGGATAATTCTGGAGTGTGGAAGTTCAAGATCAAGGTGCCAGCATAGCCAGTTTCTGATAAGGGCTCTCTTCCTGACTTATAGAAGGTCACCTTCTTGCTGTGTGATAACATGACCTTTCTTTGGTGCATGCACTTGAGAGGGGTAGATCTCCTTTCCTCCTTTTATAAGGTTATTAATGCCATCATGGAGGTCTCACCCCCATAATATAATCTATACCTAATTACCTACCTCTTATAACTATCATACTGGGGGATTAGGGCTTAAACTTATGAATTGTGGGGGTCACATTAAGTATATATATATATTTATAGTATGCAAGCTTTTGAGATTGGCTTTTTTCAGTCAGTTTAATGCCCTTGAAATCCATCCAAGTTGTTTTATATATCAATAGTAGTTCATTCTTTTTAAAAAAATATTTTTTATTGATTTCAGAGATAGAAACATCAATGATGAGAGAGCATCAATGATTGGCTGCCTCTTGTATGTCCCCCACTGGTATTGAGCCAGGTTAAGTCCTTCAAAAAGCCCAATGTAAAATAAATGTGGCAACTGTAATAACATTTGAACTTGTCTTTAGACCGCTCGGCCACGCTACCGCCTATTTGAACTTGTCTTTATGTAAAGACTTGCTTGCATTATAATCTTGCTCTTATTTTTACCATCTTTTAAAAAAATTGGTTGATTTTGAAATCAGTTTTCATTGTATCTGTGTTTTGTTCAGTCATTAAAAGTGAATTTAATTGGTCGTTTGAGCGGCTTTCTAAGTTTACTACTCTTTGGATCACAGTCAGAAACAGTGAAAGCTGAGTTGCACTGGCTCAGACTTTTAAACACCACCAGCCTTGGAAGGGGTTGGGGGTGAGGAGTATGTTATTGGGCTTTGTCAGCACTTCAGATTCCACATCTTGATTCCTCAGGGAGAACTCAGGAGTGGCCTCAACATTTCAAATACGTAGACAAGCTGTCAGTTGTGTGAGAGAGGTAGGAGTGTTGCCCTTTAAATTTAATTCACATGGTTCTTCATGAGGAAAAAGGTAGACTAGTGAAAAAAGATGGGTCTGGTAATCTTTTTCTAAGTTTACATTTAAAATTCACTGATAACTTCTATGTTGAAAGATCTTGTCCTATTTCCCTTTTTAATATAGGAACAACAAGGCTAAAATTATTTCCTTAAATGATTTTTTAAAAAAAATATATTTTTATTGATTTCAGAGAGGAAGGGAGAAGGAGAGGGAGATAGAAACATCAATGATGAGAGAGAAGCCTACTGGGGATTGAGGCCGCAACCCGGACATGTGCCCTTGACTGGGTTTGAACCCAAGACCCTTCAGTCCGCAGTCTGACACTCTATCCACTGGGCCAAACCAGCTAGGGCTTAAATAATTGTTTTAAAGTTATCTAAGATCTGAGATGCCAGAAATCAAAACACTCTTTTGTTCAAAGCACCTGTATTCTTGGTCCACTCCTTTTAGATTTGTTAGCCTCATACTGGAAGGTCTTTCTGATCTAGATAGTTCTGAATAGCTTAGTAAATGTAGGTGGTTATTAATATTACACACAATTCACATGTTGTATTGCCATGGTGTAGTTTTTACAACTTATTAGTCATAAACAGTAGATAGTATCTTGCATCCTCAATAAAGGTAAACTGGGACTCTGAAAATCTTTAATGATGGCTTTCAGGTGCTTCCTCTGTCGGTGCACTGGTTTGCCCTGGGAGCTCTTGGCTTATGGCCAGTGATTTTCTAAGTTTACATCTGTAGCACTGTACACTGATTCTTTTTTTAAAGTAGTTGTGTTTTTTAAAAAATATATTTTTATTGATTTCAGAGAGGAAGAAAGAGGGAGAGATAGATAGAAACATCAATGATGAGAGAGAATTATTGATTGGCTGCCTCCTGCATGCCCCACACTGGGGACCCAGCCCACAACCTGGGCATATGCCTTGACCAGGAATCCAACTGTGACCTCCCGGTTCATAGGTCAACTCTCAACCACTGAGCTGTGCTGGCTGGGCTGTACACTGATTCTTAATTGATCCTGGACTATCATGGATGGGGGTCTGATTCCTGTGTTGATGGTGAATTCTGGAGATTGCTGCTAAGATGGTGACAGCCTGCATTCCTAAAGTTTTAGGTTGAAAAATGCATTCATATTTCCAGTGGACACAGGTAAGGGGTATGGCAGGGAGCTGGTCTGCCTGAGAGCTGCTAGGCAGGCTCCAGCAGTGAGAGTCCCAGGGAGATGGATTGCTGCTGAAATAGGGTTTGGTACAGGAGCTGGGCTGTGGAATGCATTGAATAGCCTGCATTTCAAGAGCTTCAGCCAGAAATGTCCCCAGTGGTAGGGATTTCCAAAAACCCACTAGAATGCATCACCGAAGTCTTGGCTTTAACAACCTACCAAACTGGAAGAGCATCAAGGCCCCCAGCCATATAAGGATAGTTTTTTCTCCGCATTATCCCTCAATTTTCTCCCTGCTTTTAACCTGGTATGGTCTGAAATAGAAACTCCTGAGCTGGAGAGGAAGAGAACAAAGACACACAAGTATGACCACTCTCCCTTCTCCAAAGCTGAGTGCTGCCAGTCAGGAACTTGGGCAGAGGAGAGGGAGCAGAGGCCTTTGCTTTGGGGTTAATAGTGATGTGAGGACTAGTGTCTTAGACTGAACAGTTTTAATTTCTCAGTTGAGGTGGTGTTTTATGTATTTTCCCTAAGAATGAGCAGAAAAGTCATGCATCCTGTCCAAGTTTTCCACCAGGAGTGGGGGAAGATGGACTGTACTGAATAGATTTAATAGGGACTATGGGGAAAAAAAGTTGAGTTTTAAGCCACAAATTGTACTTGTTCAATGGACTAATCACATGTCCAAGTGAGGGCAACTAAGAGTCATGGAACTGGCTCCTGGCCATTTCTTTTTGTAAATTATGCACATAAGGGCTTATTGCTGTCTAATGTTCATGACATTGGTGCCTCAGTTAAGACAGAGATGTTGAGCATCCCATTTAAATTCAGCTCAAGACAATTATTGTTTATGCTACCAGGTATAAATCCGAGCTTAGAAGTGAATGGGAATACTGACCAGAAAACCCAATACTAACCTTGACTTCATTTCTTACCTTCACTAAAAGGTCCTTAGCCTCCCTCTCCAGCCATCGGGGGTAAAAGGGGTTGTCCATGCGGATGGAGTGGAAGAGCTCTTCTTCATCTTGCCCGTGGAAAGGTGACTGACCAATTAGCATTTCATAGAGGAGGACACCAAAGGACCACCAGTCAACAGAATGGTTGTATTTCTGACCCAGCAAGATCTGTGTAGCCAAAAATGTAATGAATAAAAGTGAGGTTGATGAGTGAATACCTTGTATGGTTTTTTCAAGGCTAATCAGTAAATCATTGATGGTGATGACAGTAGTATGTGGTATAAACAAAGATCACACTGAGAACTATATATTTTGGGAAGGTAATGATTGAATACAAATGAGTAGGCAATCTAAAACTGAGCAAAGAACAGTGGCTTATAAACTTTTGAACAATAATAGATTGGGCTAGGGGACTGTCTAGGGCAGGGGGAAAAATGGACACATATGTAATCCCCTTTGTAATACTTTAAGCAATAAAAAAATAGCTATAAAAAATAAAAAAATAAAAAAAATAAAACTGAGCAAACATTTTTTGAGTTTCAATTTCTACTTTTCCCCTGGCCTTAAGTGAAATAACTAAACTGTGTACGTCGTTAGCCTTCATTTCCATCTGTGATGTGAGGGCAGCAGACTCAGACCTAAGAAAGCTGGTATCTATCCCAGCTCTCCAGTGCCTCTGAGGTGAATATCTAAACCAGCCCCATGTGTTCTACTGTCTTGTGTCTTTGCATAAAGTTTCTGTAGGTGACCAAGTATCCAGAGAGGTTATCTGAATAAGTTCATTCCTTAAATCTGAACTAGTCATGGTTTAAAAGATTTCTACCTGTTCACCAATCCACTTTCTTGCAGAAAAGTCTTTGTACTCAGGCCATCCAGCAACTTCCTTTTTAATGTTGGAACATAGAGAGTGCACATGTCACTCTACTCAGTACTTTTCATCCCAACAAATCATGATGTAACCTTCTCTAAAATAGTATATAGGGCCCAACAGTGGGTGAATGGATAAATTCAGTGTAGTCTATAAATACAGTAGAATATTATTCAACCTTACAAAGGAAAGAAATCTTGACACATGATACAACATGGGTGAGCCTTGAGGACATTGTGCTAAGTGAAATAAGCCAGTAACAAAAGGATAAATATTGTACCATTTCACTTACATGAGGTACTTAGAGTACTCAACTTCATAGAGACAGAAAATGGAACAATGGTTCCTAGGGGCTGGGGGAAATGGGGAGTTGTTGCTTAATGGAGATAGAGTTTCAGTTGTACAAGATGAAAAAGTTCTGGAGATTAGTTGCACAACAATGTAAATGTACTTAACACTACTGATTGTACTCTTAAAAATGGTTAAGCCGGTATACTTTATGGTACGTATATTTTACCACAATTAAAGTCAGTACATAGCACTGGCCGGTGTGGCTCAGTTGGTTGGGCACTGTCCCATGCACGGTGTGTGTGTGGTGTGTGTGTTGTCCCATGCACGGTGTGTGTGTGTGTGTGTGTGTGTGTGGTGTGCTGGTTCAATTCCCCATCATGCCCGAGTTTCGGGATCAATCCCTGGTAGGGGGTGTGCAGGAGGCAGCCGATCAATATCACATTGATCTCTCTCTCTCTCTTCCTCTCTCTCTAATTTTATATGGAGAAGAGAACATTCTGTCTCTCCTGACTCCGGCTGCCAGGATGGTTTGGGGGAAGCTGCTTTATTACCCAAAGCAAAATGGAGAACAGATACTAGTATTGAAGTACTAAATTTAAAAGGCAAGACTGGGACCTTCTTTTCACACTGCAATTTAAGGGTTAGCTCACCTGTGTGAGCACACACACAAACACAGAGAGCATTTTAGTATAGCATTCCTCATTTGAAATGGAATTTCCCCCTTTGAAAATGGGTCTTCGGAATGAATGGTAGAATTGTAGCACTGATGAACCCAGGAAAGAAAAGTGACACTATAGTTCTAGACCAGTGGCTCTCAACCTTGGCTGCACATTAGAATCACCTGGGAATCTTTTTAAAATCCTGATTTCCGGGCCTCATCCTCTGGAAATTCTGTTTCTTTGTTATGGGGTGGGGCCACAACATTAGTAACAAAGAAACAGAATTTCCAGAGGATGAGGCCCAGAAATCAGGATTTTAAAAAGATTCCCAGGTGATTCTAATGTGCAGCCAAGGTTGAGAACCACTGTTCTAGACATTTCAGTATTTTCTAGGACAGCTTTATATCTCGATGCTGGTGAACTTTTTGATGCAGAAAATAATGTGCACAGCACCCATCTCTGACCCTTACCTCTCCCCAGGCCTGTCCTTGGGAAATGAGGCAAGCTTGGAGTGAGGCTCAGGAATACTGTGAAAGTGTCTCTAATACAGTGATGGCGAACCTATGACACGCGTGTCAGAGGTGACACGAGAACTCTTTTTTTGGTTGATTTTTCTTTGTTAAATTGCATTTAAATATCTAAAATAAATATCAAAAATATAAATCTTTGTTTCACTATGGTTGCAAATATCAAAAAATTTCTATATGTGACACGGCACCAGAGTTAAGTTAGGGTTTTTCAAAATGCTGACACACTGAGCTCAAAAGGTTTGCCATCACTGCTCTAATATAAGACTTGCTAAACAAACAACAGCAAGAAACAGTTGTGAAGGCCATACTAAATACTACAGGTTCTACTTCTGCCTTAGTCCTCTATCGTGTAGTTTATCACTGGGTTGTTGTGAGGCTCCAGTGAAAAGAAGGAAAGACAAAGTGTTTTGTCATTTGGAAATGACTATATGCTCCATGGTAAATATCTGTCTTGTTGAACTGGTACCCACCTGTGAAAACAAAGATCAAGTTGCAAACAGAAATTTGCAATCTGCTATTGACTTCCAGTATAAAAATGCTATCCACTAGCCTTAACTCAATACTTAAATGCTAAATTTCACTTTACTTATAAATTTAAAAAATATTTTTATTGATTTCAGAGAGGAAGAGAGAGGGAGAGAGAGATAGAAACATCAATGATGAGAGAGAATTATGAGCAGCTGCCTCCTGTACGCCCCACACTGGGGATCTAGCCCACAACCCTGGCATGGAAATCGAATGGTGAATATCTAAACCAGCCCCATGTGTTCTACTGTCTTGTGTCTTTGCATAAAGTTTCTGTAGGTGACCAAGTATCCAGAGAGGTTATCTGAATAAGTTCATTCCTTAAATCTGAACTAGTCATGGTTTAAAAGATTTCTACCTGTTCACCAATCCACTTTCTTGCAGAAAAGTCTTTGTACTCAGGCCATTCAGCAACTTCCTTTTTAATGTTGGAACATAGAGAGTGCACATGTCACTCTACTCAGTACTTTTCATCCCAACAAATCATGATGTAACCTTCTCTAAAATAGTATATAGGGCCCAACAGTGGGTGAATGGATAAATTCAGTGTAGTCTATAAATACAGTAGAATATTATTCAACCTTACAAAGGAAAGAAATCTTGACACATGATACAACATGGGTGAGCCTTGAGGACATTGTGCTAAGTGAAATAAGCCAGTAACAAAAGGATAAATATTGTACCATTTCACTTACATGAGGTACTTAGAGTACTCAACTTCATAGAGACAGAAAATGGAACAATGGTTCCTAGGGGCTGGGGGAAATGGGGAGTTGTTGCTTAATGGAGATAGAGTTTCAGTTGTACAAGATGAAAAAGTTCTGGAGATTAGTTGCACAACAATGTAAATGTACTTAACACTACTGATTGTACTCTTAAAAATGGTTAAGCCGGTATACTTTATGGTACGTATATTTTACCACAATTAAAGTCAGTACATAGCACTGGCCGGTGTGGCTCAGTTGGTTGGGCACTGTCCCATGCACGGTCTGTGTGTGTGTGTGTGTGTGTGTGTGTGTGTGTGTGTGAACACCTGGGAATGTATTTTTCCAGTAAAATCCACAAAGGAGTCTGTGATGCCTCTGGACCATTTGAACTCTGAGGTTGTGCCTACACTCCTGTGCCTGGTTGCCCTTCCCCCATCCCAGAGCCAGCCGGTGGATGCGGAGTGGTGGTGGGGGA